TAGGCTTTGTCCTCTTTGAAATTTTCATTTTTTTATTAAAAAGCAAATGACTCTGGTACTTTTGGTCACGGTCTGCGATCCAATTTGATGAGCATTTTTTCTTTGCTCATGAAATAGGGTCGCAGCTGGACTGTATTTTATTTTATTTTTTATTTTCATTTAATTTTTTTTACCAACGAGGACAATGCCCGTATTTTAATTAAAGGAGAATTCAAGAAAAAATATACTCGTATATCTGATATGAGTATATGGGATGAAAACCCTTGTTTATTGTAATACACAAAACAAAAGAGAGAGAACTAAATTTGCTTTTAAGGAAGCAATAGTGATATTCTTATTTCCAAGATTAACATTGTATATTTATTTCAAAATGTTTTTTAATAAGAATAATTTTACGCTAAAATAACTTAGTGGTATTAATTAAAAATATTCTAAAATTATACTTTATAAATTTTATTAAAAAAATAAAAAACTACAATTATAATAATGTTCAAATTTATTGTTTGTTTAAGTTTTTATTTAATTTTTATTATAAACAATACAAAATATTTTTGTTTACAAATTTTTTTGAGGTAGTTATTTAAGATAGTCATTCTGAGAAGACAACCAAACATAATAATTATCCTCCCTTTTTAATTATTACCACAATTATGCATAGAAAAAAGAAAAGGATAATCATCAACATATTATATTTGTAAACGAAGCAATAATTTATTTTAGATATTTACGAGCAATAGTATGAGCAAATACATACAACTTGAAGGAAGTTGAATAAAAAATTTTGACAAGAAAAAAAGAGATTTTTTTAACATGTTAACGAGGAGAAAGTCCGATTTCTTCTCTTCCATGACCATCTCCTCGAGTGTCAACTGCTTCAAACAGTTCATAATTGCTACGGATTTTTTATTTTATGCAATAAGTGATTTGAAATCAACGAAAAGATCAACACTTCCCACGAGTTACGATGTCAAAAATATACTCGTGTGTGTTTATAATCATGCAGAATAATGGGATGCAAACACATCACGTATTAATGGGATGTATGCGGTGGCGCGGGGTGTAATGAAAAGAGTTATTTAGCACGGCAGCGCGCGCTTGTTTGATGCATTGTGTGACGACCGGGGTGTTACATTGGGTGGAGTGAGAGAGAGCACACAACACAATAATTATGTTTTTATCATAATAAAAAGCAGCAACAACACGCCGCGCGCACTATAAAACACAACACGCTCGCTCTCTCTCACACACAAACAAATAATAATAAAGCGACAAGAGCGAGAGCATGTGTATATTTTAGTGTTGACAGCTTGACTGATTAAAATTATAACAATGCATGCGCCTGTGATATTATAATAATACACTGAAATTATTATTTACCGCCGCAGCGAGCTGAGAGAGTGACGTGATTTCACGGTTTTCCATCAAGCTCTGTGTTCGTTCGGCGCCTCATTAGTCCTCGCGCTGCGCGCATTGCGTGTCAACAACATGAGCTTCCCAAGATCACATTCCTCCCATCTGCGGTTCCGCAAATCATTAGAATTTAATTTGTTCATTGAAAATTTTACAAAATGTGAACAAAAAGTAACCTTTCTTCAAATTACTGCTTGAAAGCTTGAAACTTGAAACCAGTGTTACAATTTTTTTAAGTAAATTAATTATAAACGCAGGGTCTTCCTTCGTCATTTTAAAACCAATTTTTCATCTATTGTAAAGCTTACAATTAATTTATTAAAAAAAATCTGAAATATATTCCATGAGAGCTTCATAGATTTGAAAATCCTGATGTTTAGATAATAATTTTAATACACTACTGAAACTACCACCAAGGAATTTAGAATGATTGGATTTTAATATATTTATTATTTACAAAACAACTTCTGTCTAGTCTCTAGTCATTAATAAATATCTTTTTTGCTTCCATATTTTATTATTTTACGTGAAACCTCTGTGCTTTTCAATTGATTTGCATAAATGTAGTATAACTCAAAATAAATAAAAAAGAAATAAACAAATTTATTCAAATATATATTTTGCATTTATTTAAACAAATATTTTAATAAAATATAATTTCAAAGTAAATAATTAGTTAATAATTTATATAATTTTATTTTCTAAATCATTCTTTATAAACTACTTTTTTAACACAAAAACCTTTCAATTCTTAGTTGCACTGCGTGTCTCCATAACAGTTAACCTCACTTTTTTTACTTGAAAAATTATTTAAAACTCCCTGCGTATAATATAATACATACATAAAATTGTTTCTCTTGCTCTGCTTACTCGCGTTGTTATTATGATCATTAGCGTGCATGCATGTGTGTGAAAAGAGATAAACGCGGAGCGCACAAAAGAGCTCGCGGGTGATGACGCGATGATTTATAACCAGCACGGCGCAATTGATATTTTTACACGCGGGTGCAAAATAATGAATAGGCGCACGTAATTTGTTTCTCGCATGCAATACACTTCACTCTTGTCTTACTTGATGAGTGGCTCGGAGCTGTTTAGGGGGAAAACAACGATGAAATTAATGAGTTCCACTCGTTAACAATTAGGACCCGCTAGATTTTAATAAATAATGGCAAAATTATTGTGATTAAAAAAAAAATAATAATAATGGGTGTCTTTACGAAATTTAAATTTTTTCATTCAATGTTTAATATCAATCCAAGCTCCAGCAATAGTTTTTAAGGTATAAATTAGCTTTTGAATTAATGTGTCATAACTTATACATTTAAAAGCAGTGCCGCCGCTAATTTTGGAATCAGAAGTGAAATAAAAATGGGAGGGAAGAAATCGGAATTTTTCCTCGCGCTGTTTAAAAATTGTCTTTATTAAAAAACAAAACGGCTTTACCAGTTTCAGACACAGTCTCATTCTTGTATTAATCAGTGAGCAGAGCGTTTGCTCATGAAATAGGGTCACAAATCATGACCAAAACTAGTATGAACCTTTTTTTTATTAAATAATTTTTAAAATGATGAAAAAGTCAGATCTCTTCACACCTATGATCATTTCCTCCAGTGCAAATTTTCTCAAAGAAATACGTAATAAAAATATTTAAATTTTATTTCCTAATAAAATTTGAAAATACTACTCGATTATTTAAATTTCTAAATTTCAAGTTCTTGGCTTGGCAACATATATTTCTTTGGCACCTTCTTAAAGACCTGGCTCTATTTAAATAAAATATATTTAGATTCCAAAAGAAAGAGCAGATTGAGTTCAATTACTGCTAATTAATCAAATGTGTTAATTTCCAGCCTCGCTGAAAGGAAAGCAAAATGCTTTCAAATCTGCACAGTTTCCGAAAATGCAAAGCACACAGGGTCCAATTAATTTGCTCGAGTGTAACTTGTTAGTTGGATTAGCGAGTGGGAGTTCAAAGGTGCGATCGCTTAAAATGTAATTCATTTGATTAATCTGATGCGATAAGAGAGAGCGAGCGTGTAGTCAAGACCCCTGCAGGGCTATTCAAATCTCCGCAGCTGCCACCACTCCCCTAATTCGTCGGCCAAAGTGATTACACTTGAGTGTGTTTGTTGAATAAACATGTGAATGGCACTCCTATCTTTAATGTCAATTTAATAGCCTCTGCTGACAAATGGACCTGCATGATTTTAACAGGTCCTTTAAAAGATTGTGCAATATAAAAGAATTACGCGTTCTGTTCACAAATGTTTTAAGAAAACTATTCAAGCAATTTTGAAATTTCTTTTCGCCCACAATGACATATTTTTCTTAATCTAATATTAATTTAATCAACAAATAAATATGCGTCATAAATTCATTTAAAAAAATATGAGTTTTGCTACAATCAAGCCATTATCTTTGAAGAATAATTCACATTTTGCCTGTTTGAGTTTCTCACTTCAGAGTGTTAGATATTTTGATCTTGGAAGTTTGATTCTGTTGCTTGTGTAGATGCCGTTTAGTCCAAAGATTCAATTGGTTCCCCACCCATAAATTGATCCTATATTTCTATAATATATGCAAATTGTTCTGAAACAATTGCACAAAAGAAAATTACAATAATAATTGAACAAATCTTATATTTCAATTAAACAATAATTCATTATTTACCATAATAATTATACAACCTGCTATGCGCAGGTGTGGAACCAGTTGCATATCTTCTTAATTTTCTACATTGTGGGCCTGCGGCTGAAGAAATTTTTTTTTTAATTAATATTTTACCTATGAGCCTTTCTCTTATGGTATAAGGATCCTTTATAATTGGTTAAAAGTCTGCCTTGAATAATTTATTTGGAAGAATATTTTAGATCTAAAAATAATATTAAAATCTGAATCATGTAGATGTTGTGCAAGTCATTGTATGCATTTATTTAGAATGTTTAAGTGATCTGAAAAAAATTGATTAATATTCCACAGTTCCACAGCATAAATAAATAAATATCAAAACATTCAAGACAATTTTCATATCATCGCAACCATACAATTTTTTCTTTCTTCGGATTTCATTATTTTTTACTCTTATAAGCTAATAAAAAAATTGATGAAAATCAGCCATGAGCACCCCTGACGAAAACAGAGAATTTTCGCTGGGCGCAGTGCGTCGCATAAATAAAATATCCACTGAGCTCTTCAGCGGTCCCATTGTGCCGCTCTCTCTCTCTCTCTCTCACTCGCGTCGTCACTCTATTAGGGTAACAGCCCCATTGTCTCCGATACTCTATTGAATCTCGTTTTTAATTACGCGCTCGAACCATATTTGCGCTCGTCGTCGTCGTCGAGGGCGAAAAAAATGATGATAATAAAAAGAAAGGCAAAAACTGGCGGGGTGTACACAAATTATTTCGCACAGGGCGCACGGGGGCTTAATCCAATGATGCAATGCAGTAAGAATAATCAAATTCACCCCCTCATTGGCTAATGTGACGATTGTGAACTCTCTATTTGTGGAGCATCGCCCCGCCTCTATATTTATAAAGGCGGTCTTTAGGGGATGATATGAACCTGCTGCTTGATCATCCCCACATTGTTCGCTTAGCAACCACCATGGCAGGACCGTTCTTGTCACCCCTGCCGGGGGATTTGCTCTCCGAGTACATGTTCGGCCGCAGAAGACAGGTAGGACACATATTTTTCTGGTTCCTTAAATAGTTAATTTTGATACTTAATTTTGTTAAATGCAGTGATTCTCAAATTCTCTTTATGAGTCTCAAAGATGCATTATTTTACGTTAAATTACAGCTATTCACACTTTAAAAACGGATAGATAGTTAGATATAATTATTCTAATATATGAAAATCAATTGACTTTGAAACATCCTTTGTTAAATTTGTTTCAAAATTCAATCTTTATAGTATTATTTTTAACCAAAAAAACCCTATAAACAATTTTCAACATCTGATAAAAAAAAATAATAAACGATCAATTTGTAGTAATTAAGACAAATGTAAGCAACTTATTTTCCTAATTGAAATGAAATTCAAAACTTTGTGAAGCGCTTTTTTTAATAAATCGAGAAATATCAATGCTAAGTTTTAGTTTGAATTAATGGTTTTTACATTTTGCAAATTATTAGACTAATTTACTAGATTGAAAAATTAAAAATAAATCAAATTTGCCATACGTTATATTATGTTGGTTTTGACAAATTTATTAATGAAATTATATTTTAAGGAAAAAAGCAGTAATTTTCAAGTAAAATTATTTTTTTTTTATAACAAATAAATCTTACTTGGAAAAAGAAAAAAATCATCTCCCTTCTAATTATGCACATTTCAAGTCTCTTGCACTCCCTTAAGCGCGGATCTTTTTATGGCAAATAAATCTTATCTTATAAAATTGTAGCAAAGACGCAACAGGACGACTTTCACCCCTCAGCAGCTGCAGGAGCTGGAGGCGCTTTTCCAAAAGACGCACTACCCCGACGTGTTCCTGCGCGAGGAGGTCGCCCTCAGGATCAACCTGTCCGAGGCGAGAGTGCAGGTGTGGTTCCAGAACCGGCGGGCCAAGTGGCGGAAACAGGCGCGTCTGCAACTCCTGCAGGACGCCTGGCGCATGAGGTGCCTCGGCTTGGGCGCACCACCCCTTCTGCTCGGACAACCACCTCAGGCAGAAAACGAGCCGACAAACCTCAGCAACAAAATCATCGATAGCTACCGCGTTCCCCAGAAGTGAGTAGAATCACAAAATATGGCTAAGAATGATTATTTTTTTAAGGATAATTAACTTCTTATTAGTTTTTGTAAAACATACAAAAACAAAACTTAAAAAGTTTTTTTTTTATAAAATTTTATTCACTCATTTGGTTTAAATTTAATTAAATTTAGATTGAGTTTATTGACTTATAAACGGGCAAACCCTGTCCAAAGACATCATTTTTGATATACAAAAGGAACCTATAATTAATTAATGATTTAATCAATAATTTTAATAAAAATAATACTCCTAATCTGCATGAAAACATTTGTCAAATACATTTTTGAAAATTAACATATATTTTGTTGACATTATCCGCATTTAATCTTCAACAACATAATTCAATTTTTGAGTGATCTAGTCTATTTTCAGCTTTTGCTTTTTTCGCAGGCCAATTTGTGGCTACCCAAGTCAGCCGTCAGCCGCGAGACTTTCTCCGACCCAGACCACGTCTAGTGACGAGGAGGACTCAGTGGCCGAGAGACTCAAAGTCAGTCCAGCACCGCAGCCGACCACGGTGGTCACAACTTAACGCAGCCGGCTCATCGTTAACCGTGATCTTAAAACAATGACTTATGATGTTCTTTAACACTGCTGTTTAAACTTGCTTATACTTATAAATAGCTGTTCCGTATAGAGAGGTGAACAGAAAATAGTTGATTTTAGTAATAGTACTGAATTGAGTTGTTAAATCATCTAACAATGTCATATATGCAATAAAATGCAAAAGATATCGAACAAAAATTTCAGTTCATTTTTTTCTATTTATTCACTGGTACTTTCAGGTTGTGAAACTTCTTTAGGGTGTCAGTATTTATAATCTATCGGCAGTATTTTTATTCATTTTATGCTAAATTATTTTATTTATGGTTTGTAAAGTTTTTAATTCCCATTTTTATAGAACATAATTTATTCTTTCTGAGGTTTTTGAATATTTGTGTTGTCTGAACTAAGTTCAGAACGCTGTTGCACGCTTGGAATGATACCAATGAACGCATCCGTTTTTTCTGACGTTCGTTTCGGGGAATCATAATTATTAAATTTATTATCAATAAGAGAAAGAGAACTGTACACAACGAAGAGATGGATTTGTTTTACTTATTTTAATACGTCTTAAGAATATTTTTTTATCATGCAGTGTCTTGTATTTCCAGCTGCGATTTGCAGATAAAAAAATTTAATAAGTTATATAACTTATCCCATCAAACTCGTACTCTGCTTTATTTTACTATTCTGGAATTGTTTAGTAATTATTTTCATCTTTGGTGAATCTTATTATGGAATTTCAATAATATCTATTGCTGTTTAATTTTAATTTTTACCAATTAATACCATTATATATTTTCATGCTTCAAGTGTGCCTCTCTTATATTTAATCAGACCACCATAATTATAATATATTCGGCTTGTATGCGTAGTTCAACTTCCGTTCAAATTTTAATTATCTGCAACGAAATTATGAGTTTCCGTGATAGTAAAACTTCCATGCCACATAAAAAAAGAGTCCGCTTTCTACCGTTGCGAGAGCGAAGCGGCTTACTTAGAATAGCTTCAGAATTGTTGAAATTTGGAATCTTTTTCCACCAGAAGACACGGAGGATTGTTTTTCGGTAAATACACAATTTACACCTTTTCTTTAAGGCTACGTTAAAAATTAAAATGAAGTTTTCTGTTAAATTTAGAGTAGACACGTTATATCATTTCTCCACAATTTATGCAGAGCAACAAATTTATATTTTTCCCTTATGATATGGAATTAAAATTATTGCAAAAAAATAAAAAAAACTTCATTTCCGCCTATGTATTTTTCCTTTGTGTTCAATTTTGCGCTGAAGTTTATTGCTCATTTTACTGTTCATCAGGTTGGAGCCATATTTGATTCCATTATGCTACTCCTACAAGGAAAATTACTCATTTGCATCGCAATCGTATATTTGGTTCATTCTGAAGTAAGCTTAATTAATTGTTTTTTCTTCGACTGGATAATTTTTAATTGTAAAAATTCGGTGTTACAGACTTTTGCTCAGGATAAACTTGCCATTAAAATCAAATATCAAAATGCACACGTTGGTAATAACGACAATTATATCTGTTGGATTTACTCTTAACTGTAAAAAATGCATTAAAGTATCTGCGTGGCGGCTGAAAATGAGCAGTCGGAGGGTGGCCATAGTAAAATGCTGCGGAAAATTGCGTTGCACGAAATACTCAAAGGGTTCTAAGCAATTTAACAGAACTTTCTCCAATACACTTGTATATTTTTTGATGAATTATTTTAAACACATTACTTTTTTAATAACAAACTTAATATAGCACAATTATAATGAGCAGAGTGGTCAAAGTACAAAGTTGCTTTCATCGTCCACTCCTTCTATCTCTCTAGACGAGACAATTGCTCTTGAGGAAACTACAACTAGTGGTACCAATGGTGATCAGTTGCTGGAATATGGATCAGGAACTCAAGAAACTTCTTCCCTTGCTTCGGAGCAAACTCCAGGCCAACCTTCCTTGATTGATAATACATTAAATTTAATAGTTAATACGGAAAACTCGTCGCCCGTCTCAATTTTGCCGTTCAGTTCTAATGATGGTTCAATCACCACTGATCAGACAACAGCTGGAAACTCCCTAGAGCTTCAAAGTACAGTGGGATCACTTCTTCAACCTTCACCGTTACCCCAATTACCAATAACTTCATCTGCAAACACATTCACGACTTCCACTCTGTCCAGTAATCAAGTGGCAACTTTTTCTAAGTCGATTCTTACATCAACCGTTCAGTCATCAAAATCCAATACCCAACTGCTAGCGACCTCAACGCCGAACCTTACTAAAACTTTGTCTTCCGCAACAACTACCCCTACAGTACAGTCAAAAACCATTGCTCAAGTGGCATCAACTTCAATGTCGAACCCAACAACAACTACAGCATCAACCTCGACAACTACAACCCCCAGTGTTTGCATTACCAACGGGCTTCAAGTTAATGTATCCAAATATTAACTTTTTACACGAAACAGTTAATTAAGAGAATTAATAAAATGTCTAGACAACGTTGATGGATGCGGAAAACCATATTAAAGGTTTTTTGGTGTTGAAATCTTGTTAAGATAATTCCAAATATTCATTAGATTACCAAAAGCTTGGTTTTTGGATGCGGACAAATGGAAAGCAATTTTTATTTGGTCTTTCTCGGGTTTGAATGCAATCATTACTTAATTTACATTAATTAATTTTTTTCATTTCTTTAAGCTCACTTGGTCTGATGCTTGGGCACGCTGCTGTTCCTTACGGATGAGACCCTTAATGCTAGCATCTATTTCAAATGATATTGTTCCACTCTCCTTAAGTATCTTAAGATCTTTAAAAATTAATCTGACTTTGAAAATAATAATTAGGAGCTATTGTGCCGAAAAATCGAAATATCTGGCTATCTGAAGGATCAGGCAACAAAAGCGCTGCCAACAACTCAAAATTTATTTGCACCATGCTGAATATCGTGAAATCATATTCACTTGGCATACCAAAATACACTTTTCATACGCCTAGCGAAAACTGTGATCGCCGATTTTTCTATGCATGCGAAGTTTGCATTTACAATTATTGACGAAACATTTAAAAAAAATTCAATATTAAACAGGGCAGAGACGTTATTCCACCGGAAGGCGCCAAAGTGAATTGTCCTATGATTGAACCTGTCAATGTAGCAAAATTTAAGTGGTGAAAAATAATTCAATAAAATAAGAAAATTCGTCTTGCAGGCAACCATGGTCAACACCAATAATATGCAGATAATTCGTTACATACAATCAAATTTCAAGGGCTTTTTCTAACAGATTTTATTTCGTTTTTCTAGAACCAGCTCAGTATGGCCGTTGGCTATTTAATATTCCTGTAGACACACCTGAAAGTAGCAAGTATATCGTAAACAAAGATGTGATGGTATTTACGTGTTTCTTTCTCTACATCTTAATCTTTGAAATGCAATTATTTCAGTTAACGTGGATTGGGGCATGGTTAAAATGCAATTCCCTCGGTTTCAATTTGATCAGTTTCGAAAGCCAGTTGGAGTTGGAAAGATTTAACTCGTACGTGGAAGGTATAGAAAAAGTTCCACTAAAATATGAATAATTACAAATACGCAATACACTGCAATAGCCGAGCGTAATTACCAAGGCACCTACTGGACAAGTGGGTCGGACGACGGATACGAATCGAATTTCCAGTGGTGCTCCCAGGATAACGTCACAATTGATACGTGGAATCCTCTTCCACCGCGAGACACAAAAAAAAAATTGTGTTTCTGTGAATTTACGTGGCAATGTCACTGGCACTCCATCGTTTAATCAGGAAAATTGCAACATAAAATTGCCCTTCATTTGCGAGGTTTCCTTAAAAATAATAATCATCATTATTTAACTGATTTCACCACATTTTTTTTATAAAAGAGAAATCCTCCAAAACTAGAGCGATGCAAAGCACAATTTACCATCGATGATGGTGCGCAATTAAAATGCTATTCGATAATATGCATATAAAAAAAAATGATATTTTTATAGTTGATATTGCAAACTTGTTTCTACCAAATGCCACACTTCCCACCAACGTTAAAGTAAAAGGTTTTCCTTTTTTTTTGCCCTAATTCATGAAAAAATTGTCACAGTGCTACGCCAAATGCATGGGTATCGACTTCGAGATTGTAAATTTGCTATTTAAGCTACTTTGAAAATTTGCTGATTAAAATGAAAATTAGGTACTGGCGAACTTAGCGTTCGACGTAGAGAAAATTGCACAATTGATGGAAGATGTTTTTGGAAATGACACCAATGGTTTACAACAAGGACTAACCGACTTGGATATTTGCATAGCTCAATCAAGTTAAATTAAAATGTCATAGTATTTAATGTGTTTTCACAAAACCAGCATGATTTATTTTGTAGGTTCTTTGACGAATTGCGATAAAATTGCAAAAACTCATATCTGTGGAGTTACAAAGAATGCGACTCTAGTGAATGACATGATTGACATTGCCGAATTTGAATCAACAGATGAGAGGGTCTTTTACTTTTTACCTATTTTTTTGCCTATATAGTTACAATGCCTAATATGCAACACAGATTTTGGACACAAAGCAAATCGGAAAACCTTGCGTCATCACGGGTGTCAAGTATTGCACAACAGTGGTACGGGATTTCATTAGAAATCCTTTTTTATATAATTAAATCAATATAATGCTCAGTGGCTATCGGAAGCTACGTTAGGCCAAAAAACCGAAACAGGTATTCCATCTTTTATATATTAATTTCAAATTATACAATCCTTCCATGAGCGCAGGCAAACCCAGTGGAGGAAATTTCACACTCTGCAATAGCACTGGCGTTCGATATTTCATTTCTGATTTTACCGTATTTTATAAAATTTCATCTCACTCTTGAAGATACAATTATGAAAGCTTTTATAGGCAAATTTTTCACAAGCAAGAAAATGGTGCTGTCAGTGTGGCGGAGTATTGTTTGAAATTTATTCTGTGACCTTTCAAAACTGCATTCAGGAAATGCTGACAGGTTTTTAAATTAATTAATCAATTATCAAATTTTAGGAATGGATTTTCAAACAATTTTTTTTTTGTAGAATTTTCTTTATACAATTCAGCGACATCCAATTACTGGGTCGGAAGCAACAGGTTCGATCACGCAAACGACTCTTTCTGCTACAGTTATTGGCGTTGGTACGGTGGAGTGCCCCTCGCCACAGATTTGAAATACGTAGGCGGCGTTCCACTCCCTATCACTCCTGGTAAAGAATGCGCTGCAATCGACCAGAAAACTGGTCTCTTGTACGCAGAGGACTGCTCGAAAAAACTTTACTTTAGCTGTATGTACAGAAGAAGAAGAAACACGATGTTTTAAAAAACAAAATACTTTTGGAGTTAATTAATTAAACTCGCATTTAAGTTGGTATGCTTCATTTTTCGTTTATTTCTTTTTGCATGCAAATTCCTTCAGTTTTTGATTTTCTCCGCACGTCAGTCAGCCAGATCATTTTAAGTTATACACATTAATTAAGCTAAAAACTTACAATGCCGATGTGAAATTTTTGTGTATTTGAAAGTTACTTGCAAACTGGCACTTTATATTAAATATACTCTTCTTCCACTAAAATGAGTCACTTTGAGCCACAAGCACTTTTTCAAGAGTCCGAAAGTTTTTCCTTATCAATAGAGCATCCCCGAGTGTCCGTTCCTCTGGAAGAACACGTTTGGGTTGCTGGAGAGCGTCGGCTCCAGTGTCGTGTACATGTTGCCATCGTCAGGTTTCATGTAGAGACCTGTTTAAATTAAAAAAATTTAAATTATTAATTAAATTAAAAAATAGTAGGAAATAAAAAGTCATTTTGAGAAGGGATAGAGTCCAGTAGAATAAGCAAAAAAAATATATTTTATAATGTTTATTTTAACTAATCCCAGAGCAAACAGATTTTTTTGTAATGAAAGATTTTCGTTTTAATTTTAAAAGCAGTTTTTAATATTAAGCATTTTTTTATTTTAACTATTGAATTCAATTTTCAATAATTTATTTCGATTTTACTTTCAATTCGAAAATTTACCTGGACCAGGGTGATACCTAGGTGGGTACACAAGATACGGATAATAGTGCAGGAGTCGTGGATAGCTTGGAGGTGCGACAGGCATCATCTGCATTGGTGCTTGTGGAGGCGGTTGCTTTTTCTGTGGCAAGGGGGGTGCAGGCACCAGGGCCACTCGGTCTGCGTGCACACAGGGTGTGTCAGTGCAATTAGTGCTTGTAAGGTGCATTTTTATTTCATTTTATTGTATTTACTTTTATGAGTGCTAATTTTATTGAATAATAATGTTTTTTATTATTATTAGATTGATTTTTGTGTACGTCATCAAATAATATATCTACTTTCAGAATAAGAAAAAATAATTTAAGCTTGTCTGAAGCTGCGAGAATGAATTATAAATAACTAATTGTACGTTGAAAAGTTGTACACATTTTGTGTTTAATAAATTTCTATATAATATATATAGAATAAGAAAATGAAATATTTATTGCTGTCTATGTTTAATAATAGATAAAATTATATAAATTTATTTTTGAAGAGTTTTTACTTTTGAAGTGCATTAGTGCAATTTCCAGTGGAAAATAAACCAGAGAGTATTTAAGAAAAGGCGACACAAACTCACCACCCATTAAGTGCGGCGGGTAATAGGCAGCGCCGTTCTTGGACGTGAGGATGGTGTGCGGAGGGGCTGGTTTGAAGTGGAAAAACGAGGGCGAGTAGCCAGCCATGGCCGAGGGGCTGAGCGAGCTGAAACGCTCCTCGCCCCCGTCCTCGGCGTACCTGCCGTCGCGGCCCATCGCAGCCAACTGACGACCCCGAGGCAGGAACATCAGCGAAAACACTACCACCCCAGTGGCCAGCAGGCCGAAACCAATTGTTGCATCCTACAAACAAAAAAAAATGTATGTAATAATAGTTGACAAATTTATATTATTATAATATGTTTTGTTACGTTTTATATTAAACAATTAAAAAAATTTTATATAAAATAATAAAATCAAAATTTTAAATAATTATTTTCATAATTTATAAATTTTTTTTCTTTACATCATTTTTACTATAAAATTGTTTTTTACGATAATAATTTAATATTTTAACTTTTATTTAATAAACTTATCAATTTAAAAAAATTTATAATGACATACAATTTTTTTTTTAGTTATTTAATATTCTACAAATGGATTGAGAACAATATGAATATAATATAAATTTGTATTGATTGGTTCTGGGCAGCTAACAATAAGTTAATGATATGTATAAAATTTATAACAAAAGGTTTTTAATCAAATAATCGGTCTTTCGTCTTACTGTGAGGAACAAATTTCAAATTTGCAAATATATCAACATTTAACAAAAACATTTCTGTGACAATTGAAATAGATATAAATAAGTGAAAAGTATTATTTAACTATTTTACCTGATGTCTTGGTGCTAACGCAAGTCCGGCCAGAGCCCATCCGAGCCACAAAGGGGCGCAGCACGCGATTGACAATCCAATGTAAGTGGACTCTCTGTAGTTTTCACGGATCCCCCTGGACTTGGCGGCCAGAATGCCGACAAAGCCCATGAGGAACACGACGTAGATCAAAGCGGCCAGACTGTCTTCGTAGGGGGTGGCGCACAATGGCGCGCCGTACGGTTCTGGCGGTGGAGGCGCTCCCTGCGTTTATCAATCAAAATTTTTTATTTAACAATACATCGAGCTTTATCAATAAAAGTGAAAAGAATATAGGAAGTATGGTATTGAATATTTCTGTTTTGTTGTTGTTTTAATTGCAAAACGTAAAACTTGTTTATAAAAAAGGAGAGGTTCTTAATTTTCTAATATAAATTATTTTATGAAAATAAGATGCAAATATTTGTTAATATTTTGATTAGCAAATCGCTTTTCTATGATAATTTGGAATTATTTTAACAAAATTACTATCTTGAGTGATTTTGTTCCAAATTTTAATATTGTTCTTAAGAATTTTAGATCATTTTATACTAAGTTGTTTTTTTACTTTCACTAATAATGATACAAATACCGATTAAAATAAATTTTACATAATTTATCACCACCTAATTTTTTTTATGATAATAAGAAACTTTTTCTGTCGAGTCTTGCAAAATGCGACAACTGTGTAAGCAATGGTGTCGCGCAGGTTGCATATCAAGCCAGGCAGGTTTAGTTTTTCTTCTCACCTTGATCGGCGTCACGTCACTCGCCGTTATAACCTGGTGGCTGCTAATGCGGGAGCCGACGTTGTTCCCACGTGGGGTCGGCGAGGTCGGTTTGGCGGTTGGCACGTCATCAGGCGCGAAGATTCTTGGGGGTGCATTCAACAACCATTGAGAACCAACAGCCACCTGCGAAAATTGTAAAAAATTAAAAAAAAATCCAGGATTAACCAATTTTTCATAGAATTTGATATTTATCTATAAAAACGAGTAATTTTCTGCTTAAATGGTTTAAAATAAAATTGGTCTGCTAATGTTATTAATTCTAAATTAAAACAAATATAAGATATTTTCTTTTCAATTTTGTCACTTATAGTATAAGTTTGTACACCGTAGTCAAATTACTTTATTTTATTTTAATTCAGTTCCAGTTTTGTCTGTACAATAGGAAAATTTCCTGAAAATAATTGAGATGCCAATTAGAAACATTAAAATTTTGGCATTCTATTATCAAATAATTTTCAGTTGTTAGTCAGCTTATATTTCTGGATTTCACATTAAATTATATTTTATATATGTTCTGTTTAAATGGCAGTAAAAATGAATTAAAACTTTATCAAACGCAGCCTGCGGGTAGTTAAACTGGGCAAACACGAAGGTGAGAAAGGAATGCGTACCTGAATGAGAACGGCAAAGAGCAGCAGCAGCGCCTGATAAGGAGCCGGCAAGTAAACGCCGCCGTTGAGGCTGATAAGGAAGACGCTCTTCACAAGCAGGGTGGCGAACACGATGGCGTAGGCCAAGCCGACACCTAGTCGCGTCATGGCACAGGTCACGAAGCTCGGGGTCAGCGCCTGCAGGGCTGCCAGCAGCACACACATGAACACGCCCAACAGGAGCATCTGAAACAACAAACGTTTCATATGCATTAAATTTGCTTACATAGTAAATATTATGAAGCAATCAATTTCGTTAAAATTTTTATTGTAAATAATGTATCTTGCAAGGAATAGCAAATAATTGAATAATAATAAAAAAATAGGTATAAAATATATATAACACATAAGTTGTAATTTTTTTTTACTTTTATCGGCAAAAATGATTTTTCTCCCCAAAACCTATAAAGTTAAACGTTGAACATTAGTCAAGAATGGATATTGCGAAATTATTTTCATAGAATGTAGGATGCCAATGATAATTCTACGAGTATTAATTATAAATTATAAATGTCAAAAACTTTTTTTATTATTATTTACTCTCATCAACGTTTTTGAACAAATTGTTTATAGAAACAAAAAAATTCGTTTTAATAATTAAAATATATGATCTAAATATAATATTATAAAATTCAAATAAATATGTTTCAAAATAAATATAAAATAGTTTGAAATTAAATTAAAATAGTTATAAATTATAAACTTTTAATAATTTGTAAAACTTCTTTACCTGTCCCAAAAATAAATGCCTTCTGGATGGTGCGGCCCTCTTTGCCCTGCACAGAACAAACACCTCAAAAGTGGTCATCGTGAAGAGGACGATGGCGGACAACACCAACAGCGGCAACACCCACGGCTCGTTTCTGAGCAGGCCGTTGCCGAATGGCGCCGACTTGGACTTTTTTGTGCCCGCCGACGAGATCCGCTTCGTGGGGCGGGGGTTGGAGGTCACCACGTTGACCTCGGTGGTGGTGGCCGGCGTCGTCGCAGAGGCCGCCTTGTGGTTGTTGGGACCCCTTTGGGGCAGCTGCTTCGCTTCGTCGTCCAGGTTGATCACCCCCAGGCTAGTGACGGTGCCCGGGCGGTGCTTCTTCTCAGCACTGGGCGGAAGGGACTTTGAACTTTGGGGTAACGAAGTCAGTCGCTCCTGAAATTGTAAATAGCAATAAATGAAATTGATTGATTTATAAAAAGGTCAAAAATTTAATAGAAGAATAAAATTATAATGTAATAACAGAATGTCCTGATATTGAATATGAAGTAAAAATAACCAAAAATTGTACATTAAAAATAAAACACGATTTTTAAAGTATACAATTTTAGAATCTCGAATATTTTAAAATCACAAAAAAAATACACTGTCTGGCTATTTAAAATAGGAAAAAAAGTGTGATTTTAGGTGTATATTAAGATTATTTTTATTTTTAAGTAAAAATTTTGTTACAATGATTACAGTTTTAAATTTTTTTAACGGTCCAATTTTCTCAAAGTAAGGAATTTTATATTCAATTTGAAAAAATATGAAATTAAGGCTTTTTACAAGTGAAAGGGGCATTTTTCCATTACTTTAGTGATTCTAGACAGTCAATTAAAGATTTCTAATGTCATTAATTCAAATATGGAAATATTGCTAATTGCAAATAAAATGGTATTTAATTTTGCTGGCCTTTAACAAGTGCACTAACGATTGCCTGGCACAACCTTGGTGAAATTGCAAATTCGAGCAGAGAAAAAGAAAGAGCACCACCTGATACCTGATTGCCCATGATGAAATTAACAATCAGTGCACGAACAGACGCGTTCGGAACCAAGCGAGGCACGTTCTCGCGCGCCAAACAAAAAAGCAGCAATTAAATGTAAATTTCGTCGGAGGCGCAAATTATCTTGAGGGCGCCAAACAAAAAGGAAAAAATAATAATAATGAACTCGCCGCCTTCACCGAAATTAAGCGTCGCGCCTGAACGGGCCGCGCACAACAATCGACGCGAGAATCACAAAAGTGTCCTGAATGAAAAGGCACCGACCTGCTGAGTGGCGTCCTCGGCGGCCTGCAGTGCGAGGGCGTTGATCTCAGACGAGAGAAAGGGCGAGGGGCGGTGGTTGAGGGCGAGCACCGTGATGGTAGTGGAGGTGGCATTGGTGTTGTCCTCTTCGGCCGTGCACCAAGCGAGCACCAAAATGAGAAGCAGCGACGCCTTCAGCATTGTGCCTCGGTCACGTCTGCATTTTACCTGAAACACACACGCACACACGCCACAATTAGATATGCGTCATTATGACTGAAAAAATAGAAGAGAAAATTTGAGCCAATAACTTTAATTATTTTGAAAAGAAACTTTAAAAGTAATAAAATAATCATTTTGTACGTTAATATACATAATATATTTAATTAATATTGTTGTTCGATTTTGTCAAGTTAGTAAATTTAAAGCACATTTTATTTAGTTTTCTTACTTACAAAAAAAAGTAATAAAACTGCATTATTTTGGAGAATGTTCATTAGTCGTTTTGTCCATGTCTGATTCTGAATTATGTGTCATTTCTGTCAGCCCGTTTTAATTTCAATTATTGTTTCAGCGGAACCTGCTATGTTGGTTGCCATTCCCAGCTTTCGTAAGGGATAAAACAGTTTACCAAGCAATATTGGTTTCACAAATAAAAGTTTTCAAAATGTAATACTTGCTTGCGGTGAATATTATTAATATTTAAACATTATGCTGGACAAAAACAGCGAAAAGGCCAAAGAATTAATTAACCAGACACAACAACATGGCTTAAAATTAGTTAATGATAGTCTAACAAAAACATTTGGAAATGATAATCATGGTAGCACAATAGACCTGATTTTTTATAGTAGAAACTTTTCATTAGAATATAAAAAGATTAATCAAGAAACATTTATTAAGAGCCACCATCCAGTTGAATGTAAATTAAGCACAAAGAGCCAAGGTTTTCATAAGCGAGTACCAAGGAATAAAAATAAACCGGTTTATAAAATTGACCTAGAAAAACTTAATTACTTGGTCGAAAATAATTATGTAAATATGAATACCCTATTAGACAATGAGAAAATTGAAGCTTTTTACTTGCATATAGTTGACATCATTCAGAATAGCAGGCAGACTCCTCGAAAAAATAATAGAAAAAGTAAACCTTGGTTTGATGAGGAATGCTTCCTATTCCGAAAAGAATTAATTAATATTTATCACAGATTAATAATGGGAAATTTCAGAAATGATAACCTTGTTCAGGAATTTAGAGATAAAAGAAGAGAATATAAGAAACTTATTAAATCTAAGAAAATAGACTTTCAAGGGCGCAGGGAGCAAGAATTAATCAAAGCAGCCGAAGCAGAGGCTTATATGTTCCTACGGCAGCCAGTGGACATACGGAAAAAAGTTCAGAATCAAATTCCAATCTCTGAATGGGTAGAGTTTTTGAGTAATGTATTAAACACTGAAAACCTGAACTTCACGGACAGTCTTGAGTTTGACTCTCTACTTGCTGATTATGACGAAGATATAATTTGCGAACCAATTTCAGATGCAGAAATTCAATATGCCGTACAAGGTTTAAAAAATAATAAATCTCCTGGCCCAGACTTAATTACTAATGAAAATATAAAAGTCCTATTGCCACTTATGATGCCACTGTTCAATAAATTTTTAAATAAATGTTTAACACTTGGGAAAATTCCTACGCAATGGAAACAATCAAATTTGAAACTTCTTTACAAAAATAAAGGGGATATAACGGATTTAAATTCATACCGGGGAATCTGCCTCAGTAATACCTTGTGTAAATTATTAGACAAAATTATTGCAAGAAGACTTTTAGAAAAGTTCAATGATTTTATACCAGAGGAGCAGTTCGGATTTATGCCGAAAAAGTCCACAATAGATGCAATTAAACTTTTTCAAGAAAAAATTTATAAAAATATAGGTCAAAAAGGATATAAGAAATATGCATTGTTTATAGATTTAAAAAAGGCCTTCGACTCCACTTCGAGAAAAATTTTTATTAAAAAAGTTGCAGAAAAAAGTAAATTCTCAAAAAGTGAACTCCTTTTGCTTTCGGAACTTCTTGCGATAGATTCAATTCGAGTCGACGACGGTGTGTCTTTATCAGAATTCTTCCCACAATCAAATGGTTTTAAACAAGGTATGAATTCTAGCCCAACCTGTTTTAATATTTATATACATGATGTAATTAAAATTTTTGAAAATGTAGAAGGGGTAGAATTCCTATTTTATGCCGATGACATGGTTTTTATTAGCGACTGTTGCAAAAAACTTGAGCTTGCTATGCGTAATTTTTTGGAATATTGCAAAGAAAACAATCTGCAACCTAATTTCGAAAAAACAAAAATCCTGAAATTTACAAATAAAGGCAAGGGTGCCAAAGGGAAAAATAATGAATTAATATGTGCAGGGAATAACATTGAATTTGTTAATAGTTTTTCGTACTTATGAGTTGTGTTTCAACCCTCAGGAACTTCTTTTTCAAAGCATATTAGCGACAGATGCAAAAAGGCAGTCACGGCAATGTATGGCTCGGGAGATTTAAGGAATTTATCAATCGATTGTGCTCGCCGTCTATTTGCATTAAAATTTGCCCCGATAGCAACGTATGGCATTGAAGCCATTTGGCCACACCTAAAGTCTTGCGACTTTTTTATTTTGGAGAAATTAATGACAACTTTTTATAAAAAAGTACTAGGAACAGGAAAATACTGCAGAAACACGTTAATCTACCATTTAATTGCCGCCGAAGAATTTTTTGTCACAACCACCATGAACAAATTCAACTTAACCCCCACTCCGGCATACGAAGAGTTTTTAATTAATATTGAAATTAGAGCTGAAAGGGAATTTGATTTAAACTTCTTTGAAACGCCAGCTATGATAAATGACTGCTGGAAGCAACCCCTTTTCAAAAATAGACATGCTTTTACTCGATATGCAATGACTGGGTTTCATTATCTAATTTGTAAAGACAAAAGTTTTCACTCTACTGCTGGCGAGGACTGCGTGTGCGAGCTATGTGACGAAAAGTGCACCCAATACCACCTTGAGTTCTGCAAGAAGAGACTTCACTCAATAAACTTTTACGCCACGATGAAGAAGAAATAGTGCAATTTAATTACTTGAAACTTATATCTGTATGAGTGTATCAAAAGTTGTACCCAGATGGGTTTAATAAATAAATAAATAAATAATTCATTGACTATTTATAATAAACAATAATAACGGAATCTAAATTATATTGGAATATGTGCATTAAAATGATCTTTGTAAATTGAGCAATCATTTTATTATTTTTACAAGTAAAATTACTATAAATTATTACGCAACTATTTTCTATATAAACCTTATTGTTAGTTAAAAAAAAATCAATAAAAACATTTAAAAATTTAATAATTTTTGTTCAATATTTTAAAATTATTTTTATATAAAAAAATGTTAAAAATTTAATTATAAAATTAAATTTTGATATTTTATAATGATTTTATAAATAACCTTAAACATTCCTTTTATTATTCCTCTGTCTAGGCGTCTGAGAGCAGTTTTTCGGCGTAATCGCGACCGATCTGTATGCAGCTGGGAGCACGCGTCCCATGACAATTGTTATTATTACTGAAATAAGGGCTCGCATACACATTACACACGCTGCGGTGAGGCGGAGTAACACACCGGCAGTTGTAATCTTGCTCTCGCACCAGGTATAAAGAGAGGACGTGTTTGTGTGTTACTTGAGGGGACTTGAATTTATATGCATCGCGCAACGAGAAGAAGTGTCTGAGAGCTGCAGACAACAATAACAATAACAGGCGCGGGGAACAATAAAATGAAATAATCTCGTAAAACCGATTCGGCGAAATTCTGACTGACAGAGTTAATTGGAAATGTGGTTTATGACACTAAAAAATATCATTCACTAAGCGTTACAAAAAACCAATCATTTATTTAATTTGGAAAAAAAAAATAATTTCACTGGCAAAAATTTCAATAATTTTTGTTCAATTAAAGCACTTATTTATTATTAACATTGTTGAACAACAGACACAATATTTAGCTAAACATTTGTGTGAAATGAAATCAATTAATGATCTTAAAATAGTACAAAATTAAATATAATACCTAAAAGTTTCAAAATAAACACTGAAAAAATATGCATTTTCATAGGAGAGGATAGTTTTAGCTTTATTATTATGGAAAGACAGAAAATATCCACTAATTTAAATTATAGAAAAAAATAATAATTTCGAACAGACAATTAATGAATTAAAAAATCATTAATGTTTCTTCCAAAACACGTTTGTTTAAAAAAATTCTGTTCTCATTATAAAAAACATTAACGGAGAATTGTGCCTTTTATTTTGCTCACATTTAACTAAAACATAATTTACATTAAATTTTTACTATAATTTCAGAAAATTGTGACAACCTTGAGTGAGATAAATAATTTAATTAATCCTCATTGCCAGCAATTAAATATTTCGAAAAAATTAGCACTTTATTCTGCATTGCAGCGAGGAAAGGAAGCCAACAAGCGCACGCGATTCGAGCACGTTATTTTGTTTTGAAAATAGCTGTGCGGGTGACAAATGAGTGAACATCGGAAACAAACGTAACTGAGAAATAGCTGCGACGCGACCCGCTTATCTAATTCCTCTGAATCCAAACAGCAGCCATAGTACTCAAGCAAGCGATGACACGGCAAGCAGAGCATAACTTTTTATTCCACTTGATTGTATCGCCGCCGCACGAAAAAAGCAAAAGAAACCAAAAGAAAAAAGCTGCAGGCAACGATCAATTAAGTGACGAATGTGTGTGAATGAAACCGCACCTGTCACCTAAATTTTAGGTTAATTCCTCTAATTTATATTGCTTACTTTTAGAATGTAAAAAAAATAATATATTCTTTAAATAAGATGGTTTTAAACTGTTATTTAAAAATTTAAAAATTATAAATTTGTTTGAACTTATTCTTATAATTATATTTTTTTTATTAAAATTTAATTTTTATAAAAACATAGATATTAACCCTAAATATGACAAAGTTACGACTCGAGTGATTGAAAAATTGCAGAAGATTTTTCGTCATAATTCCATTTATTTATTCTGGTCTTGCAAAATCGTGGAAAAGAATTTATTAATTAATGGATAGCAGTTAAAAGTTGTTCAAAGAGTGTCTGATAATATTTATTTAATTAAAAATGTTTCAAAAG